CAGCAAGATCAGGCACATAAGGGACAGTGGTAAATTGGGGTACATTTATCGTCATGCTGGAAATTGGCTGTCGCAGTGCCATTTGCTTCAGGAGCTGACACATCACACATGCATTTACACAGGTCCTATGGCCCTGCTATACTGTTGGGCTTTTCCTCTGAGGTTTTCTGCTGGAGTCAAATGTGGTAACTGGCATTAAAGAAATCAAGGATAAGATGAAAACCAACTTACACTGGTTTTCTTCCTTTTTTCCTTCCTTAAACATGCACTCATGATATTTAGACATCACATTTAACCCACTGACGTGTACTTAAACACTGAGCCAGTCAACCCTAATGTAATGACACCTCCGCAATACTCCAACTGTTCCAACCTACGAGCCACAAGATATAAGCACAGCTAATTGGTCCTTATTTACTTCCCCTGGTTTGAGCCTTGGGGTCATACTTTCAAATTTTTCTGTCCACTACCAGAACACTTTTTTTCCTAATTATTTTAAATAAAGCTGTAATTCTGTTGCATTCACATATACCATGGGGAACTCAAACTTTATATAAATTACCAAGCATTATGGGACCTGTGACAACCACCACAGGTGCTGGAAATGCTGTTACGGGATTCACTATTAAAGTCTGGAAAGTTACACTGGTGATAAGGTCAGTCTGCCAGGGTTGAAGTCTGTGGTTTATGTTTTGACGCAGTAATTCAATGTACTGAAGTAAAACCAGAAAGGTTAGTTTGCGTTTACACTTAGGCATTTGCGAGCAGAATTTGGCTCTTGCTGTGTAGTGGACGCTTTAAGGAAAATATTTTCAAATACTTTGTGGAAGAACAAAAACTTGGGTGATTTTGCAGCCTCTTTAAATTGTGCCTGTGATGAGAAGGAAACCCCTCGTCCTGACACACCTCCTGTAACTCGGAGTCACAAATGATTTATGTCTGGGCTCACTGATAACACCCAACTAAGAGCGGCTGGCTCCAAAAGAGACCTCTCACCAAAATCTCACAGTAAACTAATACAAGCTTTTGCTTGCAAGATAAGGGCCAAAGCGTGCAAAAGGAATCACTCAAAAGAGCCAAGCTGGGTAGTAGGAATAAAGTATTGACCACAAGTTGCAGGAGAGACAAGGAGGGAGAAGACCTGTTCCATATCCCAGGAGAAAGTATTTCCAGGCTGAACGCTTCCTTCCCAAGATGGGGAAAGGCGAAGCGGGAGGAGGGTGGGCTGCATAGTGCCCGGCACCCAGGATGGGCTTGCTGGTGGAATAAGGCTTGCGGGAAGGGGTCCCTCCTGCAGAAGCTAATTACGCAGTGGCTCCCCGAGTGCAAGCGTGAGTCTGTGGATTTGTTTGGAGGAAGATCTGTGGTCTAACAACTTGTGAACTTCAAGGCCTGGGTGTATTTCATTTTTCTCTCCTGAAAGTAAAAACCAGGGACAACATTTTAGTTGAGATCAGTGGTACTTCGGGGATCAATACTGAGGTGGTTTTCAGGCAGCAAAGAGCGTAAGACACCAATTATTGTGACCGTGAAACAGCAGCCCTTGTAAGCAGTGCCATTTACAACGTATTAGTGCAGTAACACCTCTAGTAGTTGCAGTCTGTCCTGCACTTCAGAACCAGTAATGCAAGTATAACATGTTTATATATGAATCATAAATACAGACATACTGTAAGTAATAAAAATGGCTTTGATAAAGGAAGAAATCAAAGCAAATTGCAGGCCATATCGTGTAAGTTCAGGACTTGGTCCAATGCCTACTGAAAGTGAGATTGTTGGTGAGATGTCCCGTGGCTTCAGTGAGCATTGCTGCAGCCCGCTGCAGCCCAGTTGCAGAGGGCAATGCAAGACCTAGATCCACTTGTTGTCTGCTGAGTGGTGACGTGAACCACTTGGGGCATCGCTCAGGCCCTGGCATGGGTCTTCAGTCATCTTTTCCAGCCTAGTGTCAATGAGCCCTCTAAAAGGGAAGAATTACAACTCAGAATTGTTGGTGGGTCTCGAGTGTTTTATTTCAATACATTTGCCATTCCATTTATTTTATTAAAAGCAAGCTAAAGGACAAATACCTGATCCTGCTATCATAAACCCCCCATTGTGGTCAGTGCAGCTCTACATGGGCACAGAAACCTTTGGCTTACAGGGG